CCACAGTAACCCCATCTGCCTCAACCATGGGCACCTTGCAGACATCCACAACCACAACCCCGCCTTCCCCCACCACGGACTATACCGAAACAACCTCCAATGGCTCCCCAACATCTGCTACCACGCCATCTATGACAGCCACGCCAACTGTTAGTCATAGCCCTCCGACTTCTTCTCTCACAACAAGTACTTCGGAGACATCTGCTGACTCCACTTCTATATCCACCAGCAGTGGCGGGACCACTCACTCGGGGACCCCCACCTCATCGGCAACGAGCACTAATACATTGCCCACAACCACTGGATCCAACCTGGCATCCACTATGTCCCTACCATATTCGACAGTCACAACCACAGCCACTGAAACACTGTCCACTGCAGCCTCCACACAGACAGGCAAGACGACCGACACCACCTCTTATGCCACATCTACCTGGAAAACCACACTTACCCCAACCAGTGACGTGTCTACGGAGTCTGTCACATCAGAGGTAACTTCTACTCCCCCAATGACGTCCTCAGTCACTCCCACAAATATAGTCAATTCTCCAACATCCACCACCTCTCCTCCAGTGACCATCAGTACCTTGACATCGACCACCACTGTGCTTCCGAATTCTCCACCTGTTTTAACCACACAACCAGTGTCTACTTTCACCCCAAACACTACCTCTGTGTCCACGTTGATTACTACACACTCTACCACCCAGGCCACGTCCATCCCTACATCTCCCTCTAGTACAGTCATCATGGACACAACTGAAATAACCACTTCCACTGACACTTCGAACCCTGCCACCTCAATCACTGCAACTTCTCTCACTCCCTCCACTGCGGCAACATCCACGACTCTTACCACCGACATGGAAACAACACCCACCCAGAGTGCAAGTCAGAGTACTCCAGGCAGCACTACCTCAAAGATCTCCTCTCTAGGTAGTACAGCCACATCCACAGTAACCCCATCTGCCTCAACCATGGGCACCTTGCAGACATCCACAACCACAACCCCGCCTTCCCCCACCACGGACTATACCGAAACAACCTCCAATGGCTCCCCAACATCTGCTACCACGCCATCTATGACAGCCACGCCAACTGTTACTCATAGCCCTCCGACTTCTTCTCTCACAACAAGTACTTCGGAGACATCTGCTGACTCCACTTCTATATCCACCAGCAGTGGCGGGACCACTCACTCGGGGACCCCCACCTCATCGGCAACGAGCACTAATACATTGCCCACAACCACTGGATCCAACCTGGCATCCACTATGTCCCTACCATATTCGACAGTCACAACCACAGCCACTGAAACACTGTCCACTGCAGCCTCCACACAGACAGGCAAGACGACTGACACCACCTCTTATGCCACATCTACCTGGAAAACCACACTTACCCCAACCAGTGACGTGTCTACGGAGTCTGTCACATCAGAGGTAACTTCTACTCCCCCAATGACGTCCTCAGTCACTCCCACAAATATAGTCAATTCTCCAACATCCACTACCTCTCCTCCAGTGACCATCAGTACCTTGACATCGACCACCACTGTGCTTCCGAATTCTCCACCTGTTTTAACCACACAACCAGTGTCTACTTTCACCCCAAACACTACCTCTGTGTCCACGTTGATTACTACACACTCTACCACCCAGGCCACGTCCATCCCTACATCTCCCTCTAGTACAGTCATCATGGACACAACTGAAATAACCACTTCCACTGACACTTCGAACCCTGCCACCTCAATCACTGCAACTTCTCTCACTCCCTCCACTGCGGCAACATCCACGACTCTTACCACCGACATGGAAACAACACCCACCCAGAGTGCAAGTCAGAGTACTCCAGGCAGCACTACCTCAAAGATCTCCTCTCTAGGTAGCACAGCCACATCCACAGTAACCCCATCTGCCTCAACCATGGGCACCTTGCAGACATCCACAACCACAACCCCGCCTTCCCCCACCACGGACTATACCGAAACAACCTCCAATGGCTCCCCAACATCTGCTACCACGCCATCTATGACAGCCACGCCAACTGTTACTCATAGCCCTCCGACTTCTTCTCTCACAACAAGTACTTCGGAGACATCTGCTGACTCCACTTCTATATCCACCAGCAGTGGCGGGACCACTCACTCGGGGACCCCCACCTCATCGGCAACGAGCACTAATACATTGCCCACAACCACTGGATCCAACCTGGCATCCACTATGTCCCTACCATATTCGACAGTCACAACCACAGCCACTGAAACACTGTCCACTGCAGCCTCCACACAGACAGGCAAGACGACCGACACCACCTCTTATGCCACATCTACCTGGAAAACCACACTTACCCCAACCAGTGACGTGTCTACGGAGTCTGTCACATCAGAGGTAACTTCTACTCCCCCAATGACGTCCTCAGTCACTCCCACAAATATAGTCAATTCTCCAACATCCACCACCTCTCCTCCAGTGACCATCAGTACCTTGACATCGACCACCACTGTGCTTCCGAATTCTCCACCTGTTTTAACCACACAACCAGTGTCTACTTTCACCCCAAACACTACCTCTGTGTCCACGTTGATTACTACACACTCTACCACCCAGGCCACGTCCATCCCTACATCTCCCTCTAGTACAGTCATCATGGACACAACTGAAATAACCACTTCCACTGACACTTCGAACCCTGCCACCTCAATCACTGCAACTTCTCTCACTCCCTCCACTGCGGCAACATCCACGACTCTTACCACCGACATGGAAACAACACCCACCCAGAGTGCAAGTCAGAGTACTCCAGGCAGCACTACCTCAAAGATCGCCTCTCTAGGTAGCACAGCCACATCCACAGTAACCCCATCTGCCTCAACCATGGGCACCTTGCAGACATCCACAACCACAACCCCGCCTTCCCCCACCACGGACTATACCGAAACAACCTCCAATGGCTCCCCAACATCTGCTACCACGCCATCTATGACAGCCACGCCAACTGTTACTCATAGCCCTCCGACTTCTTCTCTCACAACAAGTACTTCGGAGACATCTGCTGACTCCACTTCTATATCCACCAGCAGTGGCGGGACCACTCACTCGGGGACCCCCACCTCATCGGCAACGAGCACTAATACATTGCCCACAACCACTGGATCCAACCTGGCATCCACTATGTCCCTACCATATTCGACAGTCACAACCACAGCCACTGAAACACTGTCCACTGCAGCCTCCACACAGACAGGCAAGACGACCGACACCACCTCTTATGCCACATCTACCTGGAAAACCACACTTACCCCAACCAGTGACGTGTCTACGGAGTCTGTCACATCAGAGGTAACTTCTACTCCCCCAATGACGTCCTCAGTCACTCCCACAAATATAGTCAATTCTCCAACATCCACTACCTCTCCTCCAGTGACCATCAGTACCTTGACATCGACCACCACTGTGCTTCCGAATTCTCCACCTGTTTTAACCACACAACCAGTGTCTACTTTCACCCCAAACACTACCTCTGTGTCCACGTTGATTACTACACACTCTACCACCCAGGCCACGTCCATCCCTACATCTCCCTCTAGTACAGTCATCATGGACACAACTGAAATAACCACTTCCACTGACACTTCGAACCCTGCCACCTCAATCACTGCAACTTCTCTCACTCCCTCCACTGCGGCAACATCCACGACTCTTACCACCGACATGGAAACAACACCCACCCAGAGTGCAAGTCAGAGTACTCCAGGCAGCACTACCTCAAAGATCTCCTCTCTAGGTAGCACAGCCACATCCACAGTAACCCCATCTGCCTCAACCATGGGCACCTTGCAGACATCGACAACCACAACCCCGCCTTCCCCCACCACGGACTATACCGAAACAACCTCCAATGGCTCCCCAACATCTGCTACCACGCCATCTATGACAGCCACGCCAACTGTTACTCATAGCCCTCCGACTTCTTCTCTCACAACAAGTACTTCGGAGACATCTGCTGACTCCACTTCTATATCCACCAGCAGTGGCGGGACCACTCACTCGGGGACCCCCACCTCATCGGCAACGAGCACTAATACATTGCCCACAACCACTGGATCCAACCTGGCATCCACTATGTCCCTACCATATTCGACAGTCACAACCACAGCCACTGAAACACTGTCCACTGCAGCCTCCACACAGACAGGCAAGACGACCGACACCACCTCTTATGCCACATCTACCTGGAAAACCACACTTACCCCAACCAGTGACGTGTCTACGGAGTCTGTCACATCAGAGGTAACTTCTACTCCCCCAATGACGTCCTCAGTCACTCCCACAAATATAGTCAATTCTCCAACATCCACCACCTCTCCTCCAGTGACCATCAGTACCTTGACATCGACCACCACTGTGCTTCCGAATTCTCCACCTGTTTTAACCACACAACCAGTGTCTACTTTCACCCCAAACACTACCTCTGTGTCCACGTTGATTACTACACACTCTACCACCCAGGCCACGTCCATCCCTACATCTCCCTCTAGTACAGTCATCATGGACACAACTGAAATAACCACTTCCACTGACACTTCGAACCCTGCCACCTCAATCACTGCTACTTCTCTCACTCCCTCCACTGCGGCAACATCCACGACTCTTACCACCGACATGGAAACAACACCCACCCAGAGTGCAAGTCAGAGTACTCCAGGCAGCACTACCTCAAAGATCTCCTCTCTAGGTAGCACAGCCACATCCACAGTAACCCCATCTGCCTCAACCATGGGCACCTTGCAGACATCCACAACCACAACCCCACCTACCCCCACCACAAATATGGACACTTCTACTTCAGGTCAGAGAACTGACCCCACCAGTATTATAACTTATGCTCCTAGTTCAGTCAATACTGGGACTGTTCCCACTGACACAGTGTTGACAAGCACAGAAAGATCCACCAGTGGAATCTCGTTGAGCACCGACTCTGTAACCACGTCGCATATGTCCAGCTTCACTCCCTTCCCACTGACCACGAAACCAAGCAGCAGTTTTCCAACTGCCATGATGACTTCAAGCAAGTTGACACACTCCATCCCAACCACCACCCGGACACCAGTGACATCGATGGCTACCACTGAGACTCCCACCACTTTTACATCACCCAGGACTACTTCGACTACTACTCATATGACTACAGAGTCTATATTGACCACCACTCCAGGTTAGACCTGTTCTTTCTCCTATTAAATTCCTATGTTACCAGTATCAGGCTCTATTCTGAACTTCCCTTTCTTCCTGTACTGCCCAGGCACCTGTGACAATGGTGGCACCTGGCTAGAGGGCCGCTGCCTCTGCCCCTCGGGGTTCTCTGGAGATCACTGTGAACTCCAGGAGATCAAGTGCCAGAATGGAGGTCAATGGGATGGCCTCAAGTGCCGCTGCCCCAGTACCTTCCATGGCTCCCACTGCGAGCTTGCCGTGGAACAGGTGGAAGTGGGTGAGTCGCCGGGGTCCTGTCCTATGCACTTTCTCCTGGGAGGAGCCACTGACTCTCCCTGGGCCCTGTCCTGTGGTTGACCTGGAGGGTCCCATGCTGTTTTGCCCAATCCCTCCATTCCTGCCTTCTCTCCCATGCCCTACCTTACCTTATCCATAGTCTTTCTGGGTCCTCCTTCCAGTCTGGGCTGCTCAGAGCTATATTAGTTTCTAATTGCTGTCATAACAAACTACTATAAACTTAGTGGCTGAAACAACACACATTTCTTTTCTTATAGTCCTGTAGATTAGCAGTTCAGCATGGGTCTTGCTGGGCTAAAATTAAGGTTTTGGTGGGACTGCATTTCTTTTCGAAGAATCCATTTCTTCCCCCATTCCAGCTTCTGGAGCCTTCCACATTCCTTGTCTCTCTCCATATTCAAAGCCAGCATCCTTGCATCTGTGATTTTCTTCCATACTCACACTTTCCTCTGACTGATTCTGACCTTTCCTATTCCCTCTTCCATTATTAAAAACTCTGTGATTATATTGGGCCCACCTAGATAATTGAGGTTAATTATTATTTTATTTTTTGTTAATCCTAACCTGAAAATATTTTTCCATTGATTTTTTGAGAGAGTGGAAAGGAGAGAGAGAGAGAGAGAGAGAGAGAAACATCGATGTGAGAGAGACACATTGACTGGTTGCCTCCTGCACAACCCAACCAGGGCTGGGGATCGAACCTAACACCCAGGTATGTGCCCTTGACTGGGAATTGAACCTGTGACCCTTCACTGTGTGGGCTGATGCTCTAACTGCTGAACCAAACCCGCCAGGGCTGATATTAATTTTTACATATTAAAGTGAGCTGATTAGTAACCTTAATTACATCTATAAATTTAGTTCCTCCTTGCCTCATAGCATAACATATTCACAAGTTCTGGGGATTAGAACATAGGCATTTTGAGGGGCCATTATTCTGTCTCCTACTGGGGCAGACAAGGGAGAAGATCACAGGCTTGACTTTTTTGCATGATGACTTCATTTTCCCCCACCTCAGGACAACTCATTCCAGAATTCCTACCTCTCTCCCTCCTGCTATCCAGTCAGTCCTCAGGGAACCTGGAGAGCGGCCATGGGAGGAGCCTCTGGGTTGGGGTGGTGGTGGTGATGTCAGACAGGAGTGGAAGGTGAAATGACCAGAACAGGACATGCTGTGTGCAGACAAAGTGGACACTGAAGTGGGCATGGAGGTGTCTGTCCAACAGAAATTCTCTCCGGAGCTCAAAGACAACAATTCCAAGGCCTACAAGGATTTCAGTGACAGCTTCAAGCTTCAGGTGAGGGGAAAGAGGAGGGACTCAAGGGTTCTCACCTGGAGCTGATCTGGACCTCCGGTGACCTTAGGTCTGGTGGTTCAGATGTGAGCCCAGGGATCCTTTGCATTTCAGATGCAGAAGATTTACCAAGACGTGCAGGAGTTCAAGGGTGTGGAGATCCTGTCCTTGAGGTAGGAAACTTTTCTGGGACTGTGGAGTTAGTGTTAGGTGGGGGAAGGGAGTGTAAAGAAAGGATAGAGAAGCCACCACTTGCTTTTGGAGTCATCAGATTTCATAAAGAGAGGGATGAAGAGTATGCAAGGGAATTGCTCCCTGGGGGAATTTTGAGATCATTTTCTGGGATAATTTCTTGTAGAAGGGATGCCATCCCTACTTTTTAAGTGCACTGGAAGGAGAGGGATTGCATGGGACACGCAGCAAGGTGGTACATGCGGGTTGGTGGAAAGCCTAGTATCTGGGCTGTAGCTGGTCTCTCTCTGGCTGGCACCTGGTCTGCTGGGTGGGTCAGCATGAGTGAGGCAGAGAGCCCAGGATGGCTAGTTTGGTAATGGTTTGAGGCAATGCAAGAGAATGGCAATCATTCCTTGTCCTGCCTTCCCAGGCTGACCACTTCAGTGATGCTGGCAGCTCCTTCTGATTATAATGTGTCTGGAATCCCAACTCATTGCCTCTGCTCCCTTTCCTCCTAACACCTGTGCACCCATGGTTTGTCCTGGAGGTGTCCTACTAAGGACCTATGTGCCCCAGGCCTGGACACCTTTTAAGAACCCCTGACCCTCCTCAATCCCTTCAGGAATGGCAGCATTGTGGTGGACTATCTGATTCTGTTGGAGTTGCCCTTCAGTACCCAGCTGGAGAACAAGTATGAGAACGTAAAGACAACCCTGATAAAGAAGCTCCAAGATGTCAGCGAGGACCAGGACAACTGCCAGAATGATAGTGAGTTGAGGCTGGGGGCCTCGGTCTGGAGGGAGGGGTCAAGGTCACAACCACCACCCCAGTCTACTCCAGCTCAGACAGGAGCTTCCTGGGCTCAGGTGCTAACCCTGTGGTACCTTCAGCAGGTTTTGAGAAGGGACACAGGCCCACAGCCAACTGGGTTAAGAATGGGGTTAAGGAGGAACTTGCCAGAACTTGGGTGCTGGGCAAGAGACCCTCTGACAGTTCTCAAGGTTTCCAGATGGCTGGGGACCCCTCATTATTTAGGGGAGATGAGGGAGGCCAAAGGAGCCTTCCCCTGCAGCCCATCCACACATCCTGACTGACAGAGCCCTTGCTGCCCTTCCCTGTGCTTGCCCTGCTTCCCTGGTCCTGAACCCCTGACCTTTCCTACTCATTTCCACCTGTGCCTGTGTCCCCCCAGCCCTGTGTTTTAAGCCTGACTCCATCAAGGTGGACAACAAAACCAGGACGGAGCTAAATGTGAAAGGTGAGGGAAGAGCAAAGGTCTGAGGGGCCCCAGGAGGCCAGGACACCCTCCCATCAGGGACATCTGCCCATTGAAATTTCCTGGGGAGGATGGGGAGACCTTTTGGGGTGGCAAGTGATGTGGCCCCGGAAGTACTGCCCTTTCAGGGGCAGCAGGGAAGGTGAGAAGTGGGTGAGGATCTTGAGGGACAGCTTTCCCCTCGTCTAATCCCAGGGTCTACGCCACGACACCCCATCTAGGAAATGTAGTCCTCCCATCCATTTTCAGGGTCATTATAACCAGGTCCCTGAGTAGAATGGATGAGGTCCTTGTCTGTCTGTGCCCCTCCCCTCACTCCCCAGCCATCTGTCACCGAGTCGCTGCCCAGGGTTATGAGGATTTCTACTTCCCCTTGGTGGAGAAAAACAAACTCCGCTGCGTCACTAACTGCACATTGGGCGTGCCCGGCGCCATCGACTGTAACCAGGGCCAGTGCCTTCTGGAGAGGAGCGGTCCCACTTGCCGGTGAGCCCCGCCCACAGGCGGGAGTCCCGCCCACAGCTGGCTGGGTCTACCAGTCGGCTCCGCCCAACCAGCCCCCTCCCTTCACCTCACCCATTCTTAGGGTATAGCCCCGCCCACCTGCTAGCACCCACAGGGAATCCCCCACCAGAGAGGTGGCGAGGGTCTGTGATCTGTCGATCCCACCTCCAGCTGCTTCTCCACGGACACGCACTGGTTCTCGGGACCGCGCTGCGAGGTGTCCATCGCCTGGAAGGCTCTGGTTGGGGGCCTAGCAGGGGCCGTGGTGCTGCTGCTGCTGCTGGTGGCACTTAGCGTCTTCTTCGTGCGCTCCCGGAAGAGGCGCGGCCAAGGCGGAGGCTGGTGAGCGGTTTGGGAGTTGGATGTGAGGGTGGCAAAAGGGTCGGAGGCAGTGCAGCCCTCCCCTGACCACACGCACCCTGATCAGGTCCTGGGACAACGACAGGAAATGGTTTGAGTCATGTGATGACACCACCGTGGGGACTTTTACAAACTTAGGCTTCGAGGACGACAGAACAGGTGAGTCCTGCTTCCTGGAAGAGAAGGCAGGGGCTTCCTTGGGCACCACTGAGGCCTGGAAAGGACCCCACGACCTCCTTTGCCCAGGACAGATACTTACCTCTTGCTAGGGATCTTACCTCGATGTTTGCCCATGTCCCTCCTGTGGAAGGCCAATGTCCTGCACAGGCCACCCCAGCCGGACAGGCACAGAGCCACAGGAGCCCCCTGAACCCTGCCTAACTCACCTTTTCTTCCCTCCATGTGTTTTTCCCTTCCTCTTTTCTCTCTCTCTAGTCAAGAACGAAAACTTCTACGTGGACTTGGAGACTGTGGACACCAATATGAGGGTGAGGGACAAAGGGGGAATGGATGGTGAGGAGCCCTCCTAGGTCCAGCTCCACATGCCCTACCTTTCCACCCCCCACCCCCAGGGCAGGGGCCTGAGCTAGGACCAGGAGGCAGAGACCTCCCAGCCAGTCCCAGCAGGGTGGCTCCCTGTTCTTACCCCTTCTCTCATGCACTCTGTGGCAGGTACACACCCAGAGACCTGAGGTGGCTTTGTCTTCGCTGTGAGCCCTGCACTACCCACGCCACACTGCTCAGACAGCAAGAAGGAACCACCTACACTGTGTCCTTTTAAGAGATTGCCCAGGTCTCATGCAGCTGTGTCCTGGTTTCCTTGGCCAGAATCAGACCATCCTCTGACCTTTATCTTTCTCCTACCTTGGGGGAAACCCACCTGGAGACCCAGTTCAGATCCAGCGTCTTCCACTGTGGGACCTTGGGACCTTCTTCAAACCTGTAGAATTAGTGTAGCATACTTGTTCTGATAACTTGTACAGTTATTGTGAAAACCAGAAGTGCTCTGTCCGAATACCCCTTCCTATGTCAGCCCTCTTGCTTAGATGGCTTCTCTCAGCTCCACAGTCCCCACCTCCTAGGCTGGGTCTCAGGCCTTAGTCTTTATTTTCCTGTGAGCATTCCATACTGCCTATTGCTCATCCATCCCAGCCTCCTTTCCTCCTTATATAACTCCCTGTCATACCCTTTGCTCCTATTCCTTAAATCGGCTCCCCCTTTGAAAACCACTTCTTAGACCACTCCTCCCCCACACCCCAGCCCCCTGATCTCCTCTAGTGTCTGTGCTCTCCCCTTCCCCATCCTTATACCCTCAGTCCCAAGTATTTATCTGCACCCCAATGCCCCAGTCCTAAATCTTTCTTCTTCCCCCACACCCCTGTCCCTAGTTAGGTACAGATGCCTTCTCCATCTTAGAACCCCCAGCTGTATTCCCTAGGCTCTGGTCCCCCATTTTGAGGCTCCATTCCTTCCTCTCCCTCCCTAAGGGTGGGCCCTTGATCCCCATGGGTGGAGGAGTTGGGACATGGGTGAGAGGAAGTGGACCCCTGTGATGGAGAAGCTCCCTCAGCCCCCTCCTCATTCCCCTCATTCTCCCTCCCTCTTACTGCCTCCCCACCTTCTATCCTCTTCCCAACTCCTCCTCCTCACCCTCTTCCTGCTCCCACCCCTGTTCCTGCAGTAACCTCTGAGGCCAGAAGCCCCCAGTCTCCTGGGCAAGAAGGTCTCTTTTGGGGGCAGGAAGTCTGTGAATCTCCAATTCCCCCATGGAACACAATATAACATTTATTGCAAAAGAAGTTGCTCTGTGTCTTTTTCCTTCTCACTTCCTGGTGCCTGTAGTTGGCTGGAGAAATTGTAGGAGAGCCTGGGAAAGCTAGTTTCTCCCAGTGAGGAAGGAAGGGGTCCCTCATAGGGAACACAGAGATCGGGAGGCCCATTGTCTTAGGGAGTATGAAGCCTTTCCACCAGTAGCACATGGAGGCCTATTGGGTTTGTTACATATACCCTTCCCTTCTTGACATCAGGAGCTTAGGGCTGGGTCAGACAGGAGAGTAGCCCAGACTGGACGAGCTTCCATTTGCACTGATGGGTAAGCTGGGCATCCCCAAAGATCTTGACCTAATCAGTGGTCTCTGCCTGCCTCATCCTGGGGGCTGCTTCTGCACTGAGGGCCAGTGGGCCCTTCTGTTCCCCCTGTTGTGGGTAGCTAGGCCTGCTGGACTGGAGCTGAGGTGGTCAGGGCTGACAGTGTGAGGTTCTTTGGATGGGGGTTTGGGATAGGTTCCTGGGACCTTTTCTCAGGACAGTCAAGGGACTGGCAGTGACCAGGGGTGGAAACTAGGACCATAAAGCCTCAGGTGTGAATGGAGCCCTGCTCAGGAGAGAGGCTGATGGTCGGAGGCTCTGGGGAAGGTGTACACTACTTTGAAAGGGGCCAGGTTGAGGTGAATGATGGGGAAGGAAGGCTGGAAGAAAGAGGGGCATCTTAGGGGTTGGAGTGGAGGGTCCTTTACTCAGCCAGCCTGTTGCTGGCTGCTCCTTCCAGTTTGTAACCCCCTCCCTCCAAAGTCACCCTTTCCCTGGCTTTTTTTGGCCCCCACACTTATACCTCTGGCTTTCTGTCCCACCCCACCTGTGACTCTGGCTTCCTGGAAAGAACCTGGCTCTGGGTGGTCAGCTCTCCAGGAGTTAGAAGAGGAGGGTTGACAGGCTGTCTTTTGTGCAACCCCTTGTGGTCACTATGCACCATCCACCCAGCCCCATTACTGCACCCCCGCTCTCAGCCACGTGCTGTCCTTCCCCAAGGCAAAGGTCCCCAGGGTCCTTTTTATAGCTGACCCCCCCTTGGGAGGCACCCATTTCTTGTTCCCTCCTGACAGGGGAGGATCGTGCAGCCAGGGCCCTGCTCTCCAGGAGAAGCTGCGGATTTGGATCTTGCCGCTTGCTCTCTGGCTCTGGGCACGCACCAATGCCATGACACCTGGTGTGTGAGACCTAGCCTGGCCTGGAGCTCTCTGGTGGTCCTGGCATGTGCCAGTCTCAGGCAGAGCTGTAGGTGGCTGGCCTCCTGACTTCCTCCTCTCCCTCCACTTTGCAGGGGATGAAGTTGCCAAAGGGCTGGACACCAGCCATGACCCCTTTCTCTCTTTGGGATGCTAAAGTAGCCACCCTAGAAACCTGGGTGCAGAGGAAGGGGCACAGCCTGTGGTTGTGCAGTTGATGGTCAGCACCAAGTCCCTGACCCAGGGGCTAAGTGAGGGCTGGAATCCACCCCCTCTGCTCTCCAGACTACCCCTGTGATAAGAGGGACTTTTTTTCTTTACCTAGTCCAGTGGTTCTCAACCTTCCTAATGCCACAACTATTTAATACAGTTCCTCATGTTGTGGTGACCCCCAACCATAAAATTATTTTTGTTGCTACTTCATAATTTTGCTATTGTTATGTCTTAGGCGACCCCTGTGAAAGGGTCATTCAACCCCTCAAGGTGTCGCGACCCACAGGTTGAGAACCGCTGACCTCATCCTGGGGGCTGCTTCTGCACAGAAGGCCAGGTCTTTCTGACCTCACAGATGTCCTCAGTGTGCAGGCTGCCAGCCGGCTGGGAGTGAAGGAGTCCGTGGGCACCTGCAGCTTTGGAAAACCCCTCTAATTAGAAGTGGCTGAAGGGCTGAGGGGGAGACAGGTCCTTGTTGAACCTTGTCAGGGCCATTTATCTGGGAAGCAACTGATTACAAGCTGATTTCCAGTGGGTTCCCTTATGCGGAACAGACTCTCTTGATTCCCCAGAGACAGGGAAGAGCTCTGGGGAAAGGGTGAGCAGGGCAGATACTGGGGCCAGGGGCAATGGGGGCTAGAGCCCAGGATTCCGGGTAGAAGAAGCTGCTCTTGAGTTGAAGGACCTGCAGGGTGTGAGGGGATGGGCGGCAAGCGGGGAGGGGTTTCTGCAGGAGGGAACGCAGGCTCTTAGAGTCCACCTCAGCCTGCCATGCCCCTCCTTTTCTCCTACCCAGACATGCCTGGGGGGCGGTGGCGCAGCCCAGGGGGAGCTAAGGAGAGAGGAGCAAGGGCTGTGAGTGTAAAGTGTGTGGATTTCAAGACATAAAAATACATTAATTACAGATATATTAGCTTTAAGGTAATAAAGAATAGGAAGCTATGGACGGGTGGGGGAGGGGTTGACCTGAGAGGGGTCCTCCCTGTCCCCACTCCTCAGGCAGACTTCAGACATCTCTCAGGCAAGGTTATCTGAGGAGAGGGATGGTGGTGGTGGTGGTGATGATGATGAAGGGCCCAACAGTCAGCAAGTGCATAGCCTCTGTGTCCAGCCATGCATTAGAAACAGCCTCAGAATAAAGGCTCCTTCCTGCTCCTCAGGCATTGCCACAGGTGAATCCATTAGCATGCAAAAGAGTCTAAACACATCTATCTGTGATAAATGCAGAGAGCTGTCAGGGGTAGGGAGGTCTTGGTCATTCTAAGGGTACTCCAGATAGTCTGATGATACCTGGAGGCCACCTGCCCCAAATCACAGAGGGCTCTGCTATTTACAAAGCCATTTCAGAGCAGGTAGCTCTCACAAGAAAAACTCTTCTGTAAAGAAGGGAAGACAGATAGGAAATTGAGGCTCAGAGAGGGTGAGTGGCCTACCTGGGGCCACACAGCAAATAGTTAACATGATGTTACCCATTTAACACTAAGTTTGTGCTGCCACATCCCTACACTGAAGGACCTCAGCCCTTTGCAACACCCCCAGCGCCTGAATGTATTCTGGGCCCTCAGGGAAGGGTTCAGATGTTCAGAGTCAGAGACATCTATAGTTTTGTTTCTGATCTGTACCCTTCTCTGGTTACTCAAGTTTACCATAAGGACTGATGAGGTTTTTGTTGTTGTTGTTTTGTTTTGTTTTTGTTTTATTAATCCTCACACAAGGATACCTTTGCATTGAATTTTTTAGATAGAGTGGAAGGGAGGGAGGGAGAGAGAAAGAAAAACATTGTTATGAGAGAGACACATCAATTGGTTGCTTTCCACATGACCCGGACCAGGGCCAGGGATCAAACCTGCAACCCAGGTATGTACCCTTGACCAGGAATCAAACCTACAACCCTTCAGTCCTCGGGCCAATGCTCTAACCACTGAACCAAACCAACCAGGGCAGGACTGATGAGGTTTTGGACAAGTAAACAGTAAGGAGAAAGAATGCCAGTCTGAGAAGGTAGGAAAAACACATTCATGGCTGTGCAGGGGAACCGAGGTGTAGGAGCTAGAAGGCAGGGTGGTGTGTACTGGGTGGGTGTGAGGCTTGGTAGGGTAGTTCAGTGGTTAGGGAGCATCTTTGGGTGATAGAAGCATTAAAGCCACGTGGAGGCTTTTAAACACCAGTGGACCTCCTTGGGTGGGTTGCCCCTGCCAGAGCAGATCTGAAGAGAGGCACTGAGAGCCATCCTGGCATGAGGCCATGAGGGTTCAGCTGGGGACCCAACTCTCCTGGAAATGGGGAGGAAGGTTTCATTTGATGATGGGCTGTGGGGACATCAAGGCAGATGGTCCTAGATTCTTTGTGTCTTGGAGGGCAGGGTTCTCTTTTTGGTGGTTGACGATGGCTTCTAGGTGGGGCTGTTGAATTTGGGGTGGCCATGGTTTCTGGGTGGAGCTTTCCTGGAGGCCTGGGGCTCAGGAGGGAGCACAGGAATAGAATTCTACATTCTCCATAAGCCGCAGGGGCCACAAAGTCCAGACAACGCTGGATCAACTTGAGGATTGGAGCCTGAATCCTGTTTTGTGTGTGTGAAGTTTCAAAGCGCTCACAGTAAGGGTGGGGAAGGGGAGCTCCTCAGGATGGCAATGGGGCAGGGACTGTCCTGGAGGGGCTGGGGCAGGAGCTGAAAGGGTCAGAGTTCTGTATCCTGGAAAGGTGAAGGTGGAAGTAAAAATGATGAACAAGTACCAAATCAGGAAGAGGGTGGTAACGTTGAAAACAGATTTGTTCGCAATAGAAAAAGGGCAACCTTTGAAACGTGTGTGGTGCAAACTTAGAGCAGTTAAAAGCAAGTGCTATTATATATGGATAGTAATAAACTTACTCATTCAGCAAACACTCCCAGGCCTGGTTTGACCTGGCCAGGTGCTGGGTGCTTTGGAGGAGGCAGAATGAATAAAACAGTTCACTGTTGAGTTTTTTAGA